GCAAGATTCTCCAGTATCCTCATGGGAAACTATCTGTGCAGGTATCTTTCCACAGTGGTTGTAAACATGTGAGCTAAATGCAGAAATTTAAAACAGATTTCTAGACTGATTTCAAACAACTCTCTACCCCAGACACCCAAGAAGCAGAAGGAACTTCCACCTATGTTTATGTCTGGTTGCTATAACGTGGGACATCGTGAGGATTTTCATGGGGAAAAGAACTCTTTTGACTAAAAGTGAGCCTTTATGCCATAAAACCCTGTTTGTTTCAAAATTAAACACATTTTAAATGTAAAATGTGATGTCAGCAAAATATTTTTTCTTTTTTCATTTTTGAATGGGAGGAACAGAAGGTCTATAATAATGTTTCTCTAGCCACCGATGACTCTACTGTGGAATAGAAGGGAGGAAATGCTTTGACTTGGCAAAGGGGAAGAAACAGCACAGTTCACCTTGAGGTTTTTTATTCATCACTGCCTTCTTTTTTTAAAAAAAGTGCACACAGAGACACCCTTACTCAGGCATCCTCTTTACTTGGAACTTTTATGACAGACATAAATGGATGCATATATCTCCTAGGTCAAAAATGTTGGGAGTGAGTTGCAACATATGAACAATGTCGCCTGCTCAACCAGAGTTCAGATTGCTGGGGGTGGGGACCCAAACAACTCTAAGCACCCTTAAAGGTAAAGGGACCCCTGACCATTAGGTCCAGTCATGGCTGACTCTGGGGTTGCGGCGCTCATCTTGCTTTATTGGCCAAGGGAGCCGGCGTACAGCTTCCGGGTCATGTGGCCAGCATGACTAAGCCGCTTCTGGTTAACCAGAGCAGCGCACGGAAACGCCGTTTACCTTCCCACTGGAGCGGTACCTATTTATCTACTTGCACTTTGACGTGCTTTCAAACTGCTAGGTTGGCAGGAGCAGGGACCAAGCAACGGGAGCTCACCCCATCACGGGGATTCGAACCACCGACCTTCTGATCGGCAAGTCCTGGGCTCTGTGGTTTAACCCACAGCACCACCTGCATCCCTTCTAAGCACCCTTAACAGACTACAATTCCCAGGATTCTTTGGGAGAAGTCATGACTGTTAAAGAAGTATAATAGAACTATAAATGTAGAATGTAGATGTGACCTCAGGGTCAAGTCAAGTCATATCGGGGATTCCCAGTGATCTTATCAGCCCTGCTTTCTGGAGAAGAAGCCCACCTTTCACTCTGTAGTATGTGGAGTGCCCTGGAAAAAGGCACAGAGGAGGAGGTCCCAGTGAAAAGCTGAGGAACAGGGTTTAGGTACCCATCTTTAAAGAGTTTGTTTCTAGTCTGACCTTGAACTCCTCTTGGAAGTGAGGACATTGGGCTTAAAGCATATTAGCAGGATTTATTAAAGTTAAGCAAGTATGTGTGTGAATGTGACCTACATCTCTAGTCCACAGCCACACTGCATACGCCAGCCAAAGTATAGTGGTACCTTGGTTTACAACCACAATCCATTCCGGAGGTCTGGTTGTAAACCAAAACAGGTTGTAACCCAAGGTGCACTTTCGCTAATGCGGCCTCCCCCCCAAAATGGGTTGTAATCCAAAAAAAGGGACACACACTTCTGGGTTTGATGTGGTTGTAATCCAAAGTGGCTGCAAACTAAGGTACCACTGTAGTGCTTGCTCACAGCCTCAAGAGGCTCCGTTTGTAAGCAATGGCTCATTTCCTTCACAAAGAGCATTTGGGTCTTGCTGTTGTAGCTACCGTATTTTTCGCTCCATAGGGTGCACCTAGTTTTTAGGGGGGAAATAAGGGGGGGGATTATTTCCCCCCCCCCAGCCCCAAAGAGCGAAGAATCCAAGACAGCAAGCGGGATCCATCCAGCTGGCTGTCTTGACTTCCTCTTTAGCCACACGCAACCTCTCCAGCCGGGAGAGGCTGTGCGCGGCTTCGTTTTTAGCCGTGGGGCTGGGGCGGGGGAAGCCTGAGCAACCTCGTCGCCACTCCCGGACCCCAGCCCCCAGAACAGGCAACTATCCGCAAGCCTTCTGAGCGCAGCGGGAACTCCTGCTGCGCTCAGAAGGCTTGCGGATAGCTGCCTGAAGCCTGGAGAGCGAGAGGGGTTGGTGCACCAACCCCTCTTGCTCTCCAGGCTTCAGCGAAAGCCTGCATTCGCTCCATAGGACGCACACACATTTCCCCTTCATTTTTGGAGGGGAAAAAGTGCGTCCTATAGAGCGAAAAATATGGTATATAGGCCTAAGACTCAATGAGGTGGCAAGTCTACTGCCAGTTCAAGGCTGCAGGAAGAGACACATGCAACACACACACAGTGGGGGTAAATGATTATAGGCTAGCTTTCTCCTTAACAAGCTAGTTTGCCATGTGCAGGGATTTTTGTGGGACACAAGACAGAATGCTCTGTTGTGCAGCAGCCTCTGCATTTGGAAGTGGTTCACCTTGTTCAGAGAAAAGGATTAAAGTGAAGAGTATGCTAGCAGAGAACCTATTTCCCCCTCCCCACTTCTCTCCATCACACACATACAACCCTCTCTCTTGAAGGAGAGAGACATCAGCAGGAGAATACCGATTCCAACTGGCCAGCATAACACATTTCTGGGGGAGGGGAAAGAATTGCAAGAAAAAGCAAACGATTGCACATCCTGCCTATAGAATTTCAAGGCTGCTCTGGATTCAGTTACCACACTGAAGGGGAGATTTTAATTAAATTAGTTTGGTCTGCTTTGCCTGCGTTTACCAACTTGTGGTAAAGGAAATGGCTGTTTGAAACATCTCTGGCTTAAAAAAGAGGGGGGAAAGCATAGAGGGAGCTTTTCAAGTTGCTCATCAATCGCCGCACACCTCCCTCAAAGGGAAATACAGCCCCCCAGCTGGGTATGCAGTTGCCAGCAACAAATGTGTGTATTAAAAGAGTGTGGCCGGAAGCTCTTTATCATACAGCTAGTTTTCTCTGAAAGCTCTGCAAAAAGCAAAAGGGAGTTTTAACCCCCTTTTACTGTTCTAAATTAAATGTGGAGTTTTTTCCCATGACAGAAACCCAGAACGGCTTAGTATGGATTGACGAGCAACAGCTTTCTTCAAATGAGAAATCCCTGTGGGAGTTCTTGCCCCTCGTTTTTTTCTAAGAAACATGTGAAACCTCTTCGGCCTCTCCTTCTTTACAATACAGCTGCTGGGGAAGGGGGCTGAGAGTGAGGGAAATGGGGGTGGAAGGCAGGCACTTTGCAGCAGTAGTGTGGGGAGGGCTGGTGCATAGGGAGGGCAGGAGGAGAGGCAGAGAGGAATCTCTCCCTACTGATGAGTCATTTGGGCATTGAAGCTTACAGCCAAAAGATTGCTAAACCCCGAGTCTCCTGGGAATGCTGAGGAGCTCCAGGCAATGACGCCAGCTAGAGCGCAGGCAGCAAAGATCCCAGGATGAATCCATTCAAACACAAATCCAAGCACATCTTCATGCCTACCATGTGGTGGTGGACTTCTCCTCTAGCATGACTACCACCACCACATCCCCAAGCAGCCACCTCCGGAATAACTTTTCCAGGTGGTGAATGGAATTGTTGGATCTGCTGCTTGGCCTGGAAGAGATGACTGTTGCATCAGAGGCCTCCTGTGAACAACTTTCTAGGCACTTTGACTTTGTAAACAACTTTGAGGTTTTCTACAATCAAGCGGTATATAAATTTAATGAAATAAATAACCCTTGAATTCACATGGAATTGGACAGGACAGGACAAAGCTTAAGAAGGCGTTCAGAGGCCAATTCATTTTACTCATGAGAAGCATGCATGGAATCACAGGCATGAAGAGCCTTTCGTCACCCAGCAGCAGCCAGTGAGCAACTTTGAATTCATTGGTGCTTTGGTACGAGACCATTGTTGAAATGCCATTTGAATGGGAAAGGAGTTTCACAAAGCTACGTCTGGGCAAAGTGAAAAGCAGAAGGCAAATCTCTGAATTCAATCTGCCAGGGCAATTAAAGGGGGTGGGGGAAGCTGTTCATCATCAAGTCTTCCTACAAGTAAGCAAGGATGCTCAAACCTTGGAAAAGCAGCACAGTCAAGTCTCCCTGCCTTTATTGTGAACTCTCTCAAGCTTTCTATGCCAGATGCTTACTTATTTCTGCCTGTACCAGCAGAAGTGCTGATCCACTGGCTTGCCAGTCCTTAGCCAGCACAGAGGCTCACTCCCCACCCCCCTCCTCACCAAGAACACAGATAGCCATTCATTCAATGCTAAACAATACAGAGCATCTAAGCAAGCCCTCACCATTGGGAGGGTAGGTCAGTGAGAGAGGAGAGAAACAAAGACTCTTCTTATGGAATTGGAGCAATTAGTTCCACAGACAAGGGCAGGACAAAAGGGATGGAGCTTAAGTATTTGCCAGTTGGACCTCATATGTGACCCGATGGGTTTTGCATACAGCATACTATGAAGGATTAGCACCATATGCTGGGAAGAACTACAGCCTGCACTGCTTTCTAACCATTGTTTACTGACCCAGATTAACACACAACATGCTGCCCGTTGTCCCATCTTCTTTTGGTGATCCCTAATGTATCCTTGCTTCCCCAATGTCTTCAGTCTTCAGCCTGTTGACTTTTTTTCTTATTTGTAACCTGCCACCTCATGACACGGCACCTCAAGGTGCTTAAGACTGCCAAACAGCTTTCTGTTTGCTTCAGCTTGCTCAATGAAGCTGGTTCTGACAACGGGTCATGCGTTAAGTCTGCTGCTTATGTCAGAACATCAGCAAGGGCTCATGAAATGAGTTGGGCAAGCAGACAGGCACACATGCTTGAACTCTCTCCAACTTTGAGCAGCTTCTCTGGTCAGAAACTCCCCTTCCCCCAAGACCAGTTTGAAGGTGGAGCAAGAGGAAGATTGCACCAAGCCCCACCTGAAGGAGCGACTTAGATAGAAGATAAATAGAATCAGAGAATTGGAAGGGACCATAAGGACCATCTAGCCTAGCCCAACCCCCTGCAATGCAGGAATCTCACCCAACATGGGGCTCAAACCCACAGCCCTGAGATTAAGAGTCTCATGTTCTACCAACTGAGCTGTCTTCTGGTGTTGGCAACTGGAGTGCTGGTGGTGGAAGACGGTTGGCTTCCAAGGGATAGTAGTTCTACTTCCACAATTTTCTGTATTTGTTTTAGCTTTATGTGGGCATTTTCTATAGATCACTAAGCCCCGCAAAGACCTAGGAAGGGAAATAACCTATGTTTACAAGTTACTGCAACAACAATCCTGTACATAGTTACCTGGAAGTAGGTTCCATTATCCTCTATGGGACTTACTTCTAGGCAGAGAGTTCTGCTAAGAGCAACTTGCCCAAAACCATACCAGCAAGTCATTCTTGACAAAACTGAATTTGCTACTTTATTACTTACACACACACACACACACACACACTACATTTTTATTGATGGTTGATGCATTTTGTTTTGAGTTTGTTGTATATTGTCCTGGGCTCCTTCTGAGACAGGATGGTTAGTAAAAGTCCTAAACAAAATGAGCAAACAGACAGATTGACTTACATTTGAGCAAAGGACTGCAAGTTGCAACACCAACAGACTTTTCAGCAAATCATCCTGGCTTCTACTGTTGCAATGGCAAGGCTAAAAAAGATACCTGAGGTAACTAACCACAGAACAGACCATTGCTAGTCAACATACTGCCATCCAAATGTTGCTGAATTACAACTTCAATCAATCTTGACCATCGGTTATGCTGGCTGAGGCCGATGAATGTTAAAGTCAACATCTGGAACAGACCATTTAGTCACTATTTGCACACAATGTCAATACATTGGAAGACAGTCCAGAATTTAGTAAAGCATACACCATGAAACTCTTGCACATTTTCAGTCTCCTAAAACAGACAGAAGCTTTGCTTCCAATAATGTAAACTCCACAAGAAGTGTATAGACAAGGTCCATATGTTCTTCTCACAGTTTGCTTTCAGGGAATCACACACCAGAAATAAATTGTTACTCAAATATTAGTAAATATCTCCAATTACATTCCATACCCAATGTGAGCTCAAATATTCAAGCATATCACTGCTTGCTGTGGAATGGAACAAATCTCACCTTCAAATCCTTCCCATAGCAACAGCTAACAGTAGCATCAGCTAGCTTAAAAGACACTGCAGCGGTCCACTTCTTTCAAGAAGAATTGCCTGGATCCCTCCTTATTTTAACAATTCAATTACCAGCCTTGAATGCTTCTTAACAGCTGGAAAATAAGTTAAAAGTCCCTCATCCCAAAAAGCCCCTTTTTACAAATTCAAGGATACATCAGTCTCCACCACCATCAGCCAAGATATGAATACAAGTATACCATCTTAAGCAGGGGTCAGCAAACGTTTTCAGCAGGGGGCCAGTACACTGTCCCTCAGACCTTGTGGGGGACCAGACTATATTTTTTTGGGGGGGATGAACAAATTCCTACACCACACAAATAAACCCAGAGATGCATTTTAAATAAAAGCACACATTCTACTCATGTAAAAATAAGCTGATTCCGAGACCGTCCGCAGGCCGGATTTAGAAGGCGATTGGGCCGGATCCGGCCCCCAGGCCTTAGATTGCCTACCCATGGTCTTAAGTCTTCCAAGCCAATTCTCACACACACTCAAAGTATCCTCACAAGGCAATAAAGAAACCGTTGAGCTCTGCAGAGTTATTTTGTTACAGAGACTGGTTTTCTTTGCAACTTTGAAGCTGAAGATGCCCTGCTGGTGCAAAGAAGATCGGCACACAGTAAGATGTTTCATAGGTCTACTTGCAACAGTTTTGTCTCAGGAGAGTGGAAGATTATGAATGAACACCAAAAATTTATGGGTAGCAGCTCCCAAACAGCTGGCCCTGTGTCAACTCTAAAGAAGGCAATGCATACCAGTGCATTAGCAGGGCATGAGACACCACTTTTGACAATGTACATCTTTTTCAGCAGCAAAAGCCATCTTTGGTATCTGAATTAGAAGAGCAGCATTGATACACACGATAGTTTTATGTGATTAAGAAACAGTGGGCATCGTTTTTATGAGTCTGGCAGTTGCCAAACTAGTCAGTAGTCAACTTATTCAACAACGAAACCAGCACCCTCATATGTAACAAGCTTGAAAGATGGATGCAGAATCATAAGTGTTGCAGAACATATTTTGGGTTTCTTGCTTGCTTGAACATTTGTCATTACGCTTCCCTGAGGGCTACAAACTTTAGAAAAATAATTATTAGAAATCTAGTATGAATTGTTATGCTGTTAAAGTACCATGCAACCCAAGGCTGAAGACTTTAGCTTTACATATCTAAGAGAAACATCACTCACATGATGATGGGGCTCACATCTGATTAAGCATGCTTAGAACTGGACTCTATACTATTCAGTGGACATGAAAAAACTGAACAATCTCAGAAGATCATGCCATGCCTGACTCCTTTTTCCTAGTAGGGACTCTCAAATGATGTAATATGGACCTTGGTAGTTGCTAGAGAGCCATTCTCCATAACTCCCTCTCCTGCCCTCTCTTGATCTAGGAAAATCTCAGAGAATAGTTAACCTTCCCTGCTATTTTATTTTATGAAGTGAACAGCTAATTGATTTTTCTAGTTCTATTCCTCCACAAATCTAAGGATATTTGTTGAAGTAGCTAAACAAAGACAACAGTCATACAGCTGAGAGACTTGGGGGCCCAGCTGACTAGAGCACTTTTTGTTTACCATATTCTTCTAGGGGAAAAGGGGGGTTCATTGCTCTCTCCAGGGCACACTGTCAAAAATGAATACCATACTTTAAATGCAGGAAGAACTTCACTTTCTTCATCTTGCATAGGATCTCAAAACACCTAACTTGGTATCCCCATTTTTTATGGATGGGAAACAAACACCTTATTCCTTATCCAATTGATGTTAAACCAGATTCTTTATATCTGAAGCCTTATGCACACTTACTTGGATAGCTCACTGGACTCAATAGGAGGAATTCAGTGGAGTGCTAAGGAGATTGTCCCATCAGCACATGCATTTCAGTTTGCCAGATGGAACAATCTCTCCTCTCCTCTCTTTCTTCTAGCCGCTGTTTTGGGTTTCCCACAACACCTTCCACAAGCCAACTTGGGGGGCAGCAGGAGGACAGGGATGGAAAGCCCCATTGTGCCAGCAGAAGTCCTTGTACTGGCTTCTGCTAGTGGGATCCATTAGCTGAATCCAGCCCAATGGGGTTTACTTCTGAATAAGTTTGCACAGGGGTCAAGCTGTCAAGATGAGATTGGGACTCAAGGTTCAAGCTATTAAATTGAGTTATACAGGGTGAATCCTTTAAAAGAGGCCCCGTGGATACAGAGTACACATGTTCCACGGGGCCTCTTTTAAAAGACTCACCCTGTACCAGCTTTGCATGGGCTTCTTCAGTTCATTTCACCAACACTGAGAGCTGCAGGTTGTCCAACTCCTCTTGCACTCATGAGTTGGCTTTCCTCTGCATAATGAATTGCTATTAGCGCCCTTATTTCCCATATTCAGGGCTCAGCTTTCCGTTGATTAAAAATGTAACACAGCTCAGCTGGATGCCTGCCTTTCCTTCACTGTGCTGCCAAGAGCTGTAGTGATGCACCATTCTGAAGGTAGGGTTGTCATTTGTTGAGAGAGAGAGAGAGAGAGAGAGAGAGAGAGAGAGAGAGAGAGAGAGACCCAGACCCACAATCAACAGTGGAAGAAATCCCTGCCACTGTGCTGCAATCCAGCTTCAGTCTGGCCTGCTGGCAGTGCAGCAACATGCACATTGCAAATGGATTACAACTCCACTTTTTATGACTTAATAAAGCTTTGCCCACTATCAGTGGGCATTAAGGCCTTAATCTCCTTAATCTTGGTGAAAATCCTCCACTTGTTGCCAAACATGGGCTTGTCCAGCAGCAGCTGGTCTCACTTCTGCAGAATGCAAACTCTTTCCAGGTTCCCATTTAGTTGAAGCCAAGGAACTGGAGCCAGGTTCAGATAGCCAGCTGAATGGATGGATTTTGCTTGCTCACACTTGACCATTGCCATCAAATGACCCATCTTGCTTTATTTGGGGAAACAAATAGGCAGAGCATATCTCTGGTGAACTGGTGCCAAAGCCCACATGCTCCATCATCACTAGTGGTAATTGGTTGTAATAATGTCTAGAATGACATCAAATTGTGCATCTGCTGGTAGAATCCATGTCCTTCTCAGCAGGCAGCCCACAAGCCACACCGCAGCTGGGAAGCGATGAGAGGGGAAGAGTTAAAACCTCTCTCCCTGTGAGCTGCATCTGCATGAAGATCACTCCCCTAATTAGGCATGGGAAAAGCCCTCATGCATGTGGACTTCAAGTTCCTCACCCCTGATCTAGGTCACTAGGTGATAATGTAAAACACAAAATACATAAAGCAAACAAAAACAAGAATAACCCAACAATTCCCCCCCTTCCCAACATATTTTAAAAGGGAATTGGATGTCAATCAGCCAAAGGCCTGGTTAAATAGGAACATTTTTGCCTGGCACCTAAAGGTGCATAATGAAGGTGCCAGGTGAACCTCCCTGGGGAGAGCATTCTACAGATGGGAAGCCACTGCAGAAAAGGCCTGTTCTTGTGTTGCCACCCTCCAGACCTGTTGTGGAGGAGGCACGTGAAGAAGGTCCTCAGAAGATGACCTCAAGGTCCTGGCATGTTCATATGTAGAGAGGCAACCCTTGAGGTATTGTGGTCCTGAGATGTTTAAGGCTTTATAAGTAAAAACCAGCACTTTGAATTGGGCTTGGAAACCAGTGCAGTCGGATCAGGATTGGTGTAATATGCTCAGTATTAAGTACTGCTATTGAAATGAAAGCATCACATATAGGGGGCAAGGAATCCATCACCCCCCCACACACTGTCTAATTCCGCAACAATTAAACAACACTGAAGATCTATGTCTGCTATGCTGTTTTCACCATTTCCCATTGCACTGTTGTGCCTCCAGGAAAAATGGATGAAGCTGGAGAAAGAGCTGTCAAATGCTACCTTTTCTTTTGGGGATGAAGAAAAAGCAACACA